CACCACATACAAATAAAATAAAGATGTTGTGTCCACCGAAAACCAAAAAAATAAATATTAAAAAAATTCTCTCTCTCTCTCTTTAAAAAAAAAATAGATGCAAGTCTAGCAGGACTGAAACATGCTGCTGCATTATTTCAGCCACTTATGTATATCTTTCTGTGCTAAGGCAACCTTAATTTATTGTTTTGGTATGTTAGTTGACCCAAAGATCGGTTGGCAATTACATAGAAAGAATTGGAGAATACTAATCTTTTTTTCTAATACAGTATGTAACTGTGTTTAACACAGATATTTTACATTGTTTCTATAAGTAAAAATATCACTCTTATTTAATATCTTTTTAAAAATTTTTTGTTGTAGATGGATAGAATGCCTTTATTTTATTTGTATATGGTGCTAAGAATCAAACCCAGTGCCTCACACATGCCAGGCAAGTGCTCTGCTACTGAGCTACAGCCCCAGCTCTCTCATTTAATATCTTGCTGTTTTAAGTTAACCGGGGCAGATCTTCTCCTTTGATTGGTTTGGTTTCTCTGCGAGGAGTCATGTAATGCTATACTGGATTGTCTAGAAAAAGCAGACTCTTTATAACACAACTTCTATTAGTTAGGATGCTTAGGGAAGAGTTTTCTGGTTAGTCAGAAAATTTCCCCCTTTTTTTCCCTATTTCAACACTGGTTGAAAAAACAAACTATTATATTTTTTTGTCTTAACACAGTTTCCTAGGTGAAATTGAACTGTTTCTTGATTTGAGATCACTTAGCACTTTGGGATCATGATTTCTAAATATTAGGGATGATCATAGGATTGCAGGTATTGCTAGTTAATTGAACTGGATGTAGCTCCTAAGATGAAGCAGGGTGTGTTCCCTGGAATTTTCCTTTTCAAATAAATTTCTCAATTAAAAAAAAAATAGATGTGAAAATAATAAGTTTACTTTACATTAAACAAATGAACAAACAAATCCTGTCTCTGTCCATTGTGATGGCCTAGAAACAATCACTGACCTAGGAGCACAGAACACTCCAAGTTCTGGATTACAGTTTTCTAAGTATCACTTTCAGGAAAAGAGCTAATTTTCAGGATTAAATAAAAAATGCTCAGGATGAGTGTGAAAATCTTGTTAGAACACAAAGCAAGATATCTACCATAAACTGTTAGGATCATGCCGAAAACACTCAGGAGTCATTTTGAAGACTTTCCCTTGGCCCAAAATGGTACAACTTATGTATCAAATTATAAGGATAATTACTGAAATGGACTAATCATGTTAAAAACTTCAAATCCATGAGGTTATAATAATACTGAAAAAACTATTGGTAAGTTTTGGAGAATTGTAAGAAGCCAATGCATTATTTTGAAAACTGGTGAATAAATGCAAAAATTTAAATACTCTTTGCAACATGAACTGTTCTTCGGGTTACCAAACAGTTGATGAGGAAAAATTTTGCTTTACAGAAGAAGGAATGCCAACATTAAAATACCAGTATGCAACCCCTAATGAGTTTAACAATAATTGTCAATGGTTGCTACATTATAAAAAGAAACAGAATCATTTATAATGTGACTCCTAATAGAATTACCCTTGATCTGTGAAATGTTCTGATCAAGTTTTTTTTTACACTTAACTACCAATTTTCAGAAAACATTTAAATGGGACCACAGTGATTCGATCAGTAAAATTCAGGCAGTGGACAATGAAGTTTATTTACTTACATTCCAATAAAAAGACTGCACAGAAAGAAGTATCTACAAAATTAGAGACTCAAGAGACATACCAATCAACTGCAATGAACACTTCTTATCTGGATTCTAATTCAAATAAATGCTTTAAAAATAAGAGAATTATGAAAATATGAACACAACCAGGTACCAATGGCCAAAATGGTAATAATAAATAATAAACAATCCTTGTCTTTCAGAGGTAGGTATCAATTTCTCTTTGCTTCAAAACAATCTGCATGGAGGAATAAAGGTAAGGGAGGAAACATGAAGTGGAATAAATGAATAAGATGAACTGTGAGCAGATAGCTGTTGAAGCTGGTGGTTATGTGATAGTTCTTAAGACTACTCTACTTTGTACATCTGAAAAATTTCTGTAATAAAGTTTAGTTTTTAAAGGCAGGTGACAGAGAATAGTTACAACAGACTATCTGCAAGATCCTAAGCACATATGTAAAATTGATTTAAACAAATTTGTGAAAGAACTCTCTTGTGAGGAAAGGAAGCAGAGAGTGCTGATATAGCAAATCTAAATCTGCACATACATTGCAAAGAAATAACTAGAAAATGTCTAAACTTGATTGATCAAGAAATAGTAATATATGAACATTAATTTAAAATATGGGATAAATTCCATTGCATCAGCTAAAAGAAATGAGGGAGTCTGCCTTTAAACAGCAGGACAAAGTGAAGAGGAGGGCCCTACTCTTTAAACATTTCTTAAATTTTTTTGTTTTTTTAAACCTCATTAGCTTTTTTTTTTTTTTTTTGTAGCTGTAGATGAGCAGCATGTCTTTATTTTATTTGTTTATTTTTACTTGGTGCTAAGGATCAAACTCAGTGCCTCATACATGCAAGCAAGCACACTGCCACTGAGATACAGTCCCAGCCCCACTTTTTAAATTTTTAATATGTGGGGCTGGGGATGTGGCTCAAGCGGTAGCGCACTCGCCTGGCATGTGTGTGGCCCGGGTTTGATCCTCAGCACCACATACAAACAAAGATATTGTGTCCACCGAAAACTAAAAAATAAATATTAAAAAATTCTCAAAAAAATTTTAATATGTAAAACTTGACAAATACAGCAGGATGTGGTAGCACATTCCTGTAATCCCAGTAGCTCTGGAGGATGAGGCAGGAGGACTGCAAGTTCAAGGTCAGCCTCAGCAACTTAGTGAGACCTTGTCTTAAAGTAAAAAACTAAAAAGGGCTGGGATGTAGCTCAATGGATAAGCATCCCTGGATTATATCCCCAGTACTAAAAAAAAGAAAAATTGATAAATACATAAATTATACTTCACTCCTGTGATTCATTGCCATAAAAATTATTTCCTATTAATATAAATTCTTTATTTTCTTGTGGCAGAATTTCTTACAACATATACTACTGGACAAGAATTATAAGGTCCTTCTGAGCTTTGATAGAATGATCTCAACAACTTAGGCATTTGCCAAACTCATTATAGTCACCTATCATTTCTATCCTTATTTCTAAGATAAAAGAAAATTGATGATTCATAGAGAAATTCATCATGTCACAAACTTCTTATTACCTTCAAATTGGACTTGTCTAATGGATACTGGTACAGTATGGGTCTTAAATATTTCCCAAAGGCCTGTGATTAAAGGCTTAGTTCTCAGCTGGGAACTACTGGGAAACATGAAAAAAAGGTCCATGGAGAAGTCTTCTAGACATTGGGGAGTATGTTCTTGAAGGGACTTTTAGAACTCCAGTCTTTTCCTCCTGTTTTTCTTCCCTGCAATGAGGTGAACAGTTTTACTCTACCACATGATCCCTGACACAACAGGCTGCCACACCACAGGCTCCAAAGCATCAGTGTCATTTGATCATGGAATGAAACCTCTGAAACTGAGACAAAATAAAACTTTTTTGCTTTACAAGTTGATTATCTCAGGTAGTTTGCTATAGTAACAGAAAACTATTACAAAATGCTCTAACAAAGTCTCAGAGATCCATATCAGCCACTGACTCCATGATTTCCAACACCTCATAAACTAGGAAATCTTTCAAAAATCTAACATTTGGAGCTACCAACATCACCTTTCATCTTATCCTATTGGAAAACGACAGTATATACACATAATCTCGGCTTTTATCATGCTTGTTCCTAGCTAAGCTACTCATAGCTCTATTTTATCAAATCACAGTCCAGAAAGGAAAAATTCATTTTAGAAATCTACCCAATTTTTGTTTCTTTCCTTTATAGTGCTAGGAATTGAACCTTGTGTATGCAAAGCAAGCCCTCCACCAACTACGTCCCCAGCCCCACAAATCTACTCTTATTTCTCTAAATAGATACATTTCCTCTCCATCACAGTCCCTGGGAGAAGGCTGAGAAAAAAAGATGCTCAGTTATTTACTAAAAGAAATAGTAATGCTGATTGAAAAAAAAAAAAGGACACTGAAGAATGGTATAGGATTATCTAGCTAGTATGAGAGGGAATGGGGACCAGGATCCTGAAGAGGAACAGTTATCCAAAAATGTCAGGATAAAGAAAGGAAATGCACACATCACTTTTTTTTTTCTTTGGCAGAGGGGTCTTGCCAAATTGCCCACACTGGCCTCAAACTTGCAATACTCCTACCTCAGTCTCCCAAGGAGCTGGGATTCTGGTATGTGCCACTGTGCCCAGCTCACGTTTTCTTTCTTTCTTTCTTTTCCTTTTTTTAAAGTAAGTAAATGTCAGCAAGAAAGAAAATGCATTGACTCACCTCAGCCATGGCTTTCAGTATTGCAGGAAATGATCAGTCCTCAAGGCTGTTCTCCTGAGAAAAGACACTGTTCTGAGAAGGCAAGACTAGGGAAACAAAGAAATATTCTAGATACTGCAATGACCTTATAGTTCTCAGGATGGTCAGATAAAACCACTTCTACTTCCCTTGATCTACAACTCTACTCTGGGAGCATGGAACAAATACTACTTCTTTCTCAATTCTAGAAACCCCAGGTTTTAGCTGCACCAAAATAAATAAATGCCAGGAAACTTTTGAGTTGCTTTTCCATATAGTTTTTAAAAACTATAGAGGTATTTTTCTTGAGACAGCATAAAAAGAAAAGCTTATGAGTTAGGGGTATAGTTCAGTGGTAGAGTGCCTACTTAGCATGTGTGAGGTCCTGTGTTTAATCCCCAGCACAAAATAAGGAGGAGAGAGAAAATGAAAAGATTAACTTCAGGAGTTCTCACATCTTTATGATTTTGAGTCTTGTTTTCCTTGAACACAAAATAACTGTCTATTTATTAAAGTCAATGTCTGTGTTCTTCAGGAACACGAAAAAAATTTTTCATATGGATCATGCTCATTTCTTATTCACATTATTACTAGATTTTTTTTTTTTTTTTTTGTACTGAGGAACAAACCCAGGGTTGATTAACCACTGAGCCACATTCGCAGACCTTTTGATTTTTTTTTTTTTTTTCCCAGAAAGGGTCTTGTTGAATTTAGGCCCTGGCTAAGTTGCTATCGGAAATAAAGCAATTGTTTTCTAGTTTCCCATGTGGTACTATTTTTGTAATAGCTTTATGAAAAATATCTTAAGTAAAATGTTGATAGTGCTTCTCCCTGATTTTAATAAGAATGATTTTATTATTTCACCTATTAGATATTAGAGCTTATTTGTTTTTATGGTTGGAGATTGAACCCAGGGGCACCCTACTGCTGAGCTACTAACCCCATAGTTAATGCTTTAGACCAGCTGGGTTCATCTTGACAAATTTGTTCATTCATGGAATTCTTTTTCAGTTTGGGTCATCCTCCCTCCTCCTTTCCTTCTCTTTCCCATCATTCTCCTTTCTCTACTAATCTACCTAGGCTCATCTTCCTTCCTTCCTCCCTCCTTCCTTCCATCCTACCAGAACTGCTTAACCACTGAGCCATATCCCCAGCCCTTTTTATCTTTTATTTTGAGACAGGTTTCAGTAAGTTCTTAGTTCCTCAATATATTGCAGGGCTGGCTTGGAACTTGTGTTCCTCCTGTCTGAGCCTCCTGAGTTGCTGGGATTATAGGCATGCACCACAGCTCCTGTTTATTTCTTTATTTTAATTGGTTCTTTCTACTTATATATAAAGGTAAAATTCCCTGTGGTATATTTATATATGTGCATAACATGATTTTTAAAAATTCATTCCACATTTCTTCCCCTTTCGTATCCTTCCTTTCTCTCTCTTGAACCCCCTTCTTCTATTCTATAGATCTTCCTTGTGTCTTCTTATTTTGAGATAGGGTCTCACTAAGTTTTCTTAGGGTCTCACTAAATTGTTGAGGCTGGCCTGAAACTTGCAATCCTTCTGCCTCAGCCTCCCAAGTTGCTGGGATTACAGGGGTGCACCACCATACCTGGCTTTAATACCTTTTTAACACACAAGTTTCCAAACATACACAGAATGTTTGGAAACATTTTTTGTACTTTAAAAAGTCCAAAGAACCCTCATGAGTCTACTAAACAGATTCAACAATTATTGTTATAGCCAATATTATTTTACCTAGACTCCTACCCACTAATTTTATGTTACCTTTATTTTAAGAGCTTTCAGATTATACCATATGTAAAGATTACTTTAAGTCACCTACCTGAAGTGTACAAGTCAGTGTTTTTAGTATACTCACCACAATGTAGTTTTAGTACATTTTCATCTCTCCTAAAACAAAATAAACAAAACACTCATTAACAGCCAGTCTCCATTTATCCATTTTC